TCAGCAGGAGTTGTAGTTCAAACTGCTTATTAAGATAACCTCCTGTGGAGCAGTTTACCTCTCATGTTGATTTTTATATCCTTTCCTTGTCTTGTTTTCATTTGGCAGTAAAAATACATTCTGTCCTGTTTTGCAAAACCTGGAACTAAGAATAACTTAAGCAGCCCATAAAAAGTTTTTGAAGTTGTTTCAGTTGACAAATATGAAAATAATGATCAAACATTTCTGGCAGTTCATTTATTGCCATATTCAGTTAGCCACCCAGAAAACTGTAGGGAATTCTTACAAATATACTGACTAGGTCTGATATTTATGTTGGTGGGAGTTATGAATGAACAGAAACAGAAAAAAAGCTTAGCTTAACAGTTCGGCCCAGTTGGATGCTTCCGAAAAAATGACAGGAAGTTTCATATATGTATACAACCTAAATATTACCTCTCTTCCATTTCTTGTGTCTTTGGATGGGTTTGGTAGCTGTGCTCTGTTTCTCCGTATGTATCCATGTGACCCAATACTGACGTTTCTGTGTCACTTTCTAGTTTAACAAACCTATTTTGTAATCTTACATTCTCATTTTCCAGTTTGTGAATGGAAGCGGTGAAATTTCCATGTTCTTTGTTAGATAAATCTATACTCTGCGAAAGGAGACAAAACCATCATTAAATAGTTATTTTTTTCCGCAATAAATGGATGTTAGTATTTTTAACAAGCAAACACAAAACAATGTTATATGCTAAAGAAAGACCTAGCTACCATATATAATCATGCAGCACTTCTAACAAACCAAGAGGATTGCCTCCAGAAAAAACCCACTGTAGATTAATGGAAAAGAAGGGATAACTGCCTCTATAACACAATAAAACAAATTAAAATTTCTCAACAAACATGCATTCAAAATATTATTGTTGTAAATTCATCGCTTCCTTTGTAAACTTAGGTCATAAAAGCAACCGTTAACAGCTATAGCTGCAGACTGTATTGCTCCCTCCAGTAACAATTCCACCAAAAATATCAAGAAAAATTTTAGAAGTTCATTACTATACTAGATACAGGGTATGTCTACAAGCACAATTTAATATGTGTCGAGATAGGGTCACCTTCCGTTTCAGCAGCAGTAAAGTAAAGCCACGTTAGCACAGTGCTCTCTGTCTGTGTTAATAAACCACACGGTATATGAGTCACAATACTGCAAGTGCAAGCAACACGTGCGCTGCGACCAGGGGCTAAAGAGGCCCATCCTCTAGGATATCAAGAGAGGAAGGTGGAGATTAGCTCTGGAAGTTGACTAGCCAGAATACCCCACTCCTTTTTTTGTCCTATCACTTATTCCATGAAGTCTACGCTGCACACCTGAGCTAGCTGATTTGCAACTACCTCTCTACAGAATACTGCACTGCGTTGTGTAAATATATTTGCAGTAATAGTATACTGTCATCAACAAAAAATTCTCAAAAGATTTATCAGACTACACCTAAAAGATTAAAAACCTGTACATTTTATTAAGTTGTGCTTTCATGTATTTCTAGATTTACCTTATTACTTTGGAACCCAGTAACTCATGAGTATTGAGGATTTGGTTCTCAGTGTACTGCTAGCACAACTGGGCTCCTGCACCTGAAAGCTTATCTATTCCTTGCACTAACTGGTCTGATGTCATCTCGTCCTATAAACCTTGCCTTGCTTAGCTAGTTTTAGGGGAAATTTATGAGCCAAGCTGGCATGGCAGTGCCAGAAATTATAAGAAAATTTAACATTTTGTGCAAGGATGGGGGGCAGGGGCTCAGCGATGTCTCCCGAGCGGAGGGGAGCAGCAGAACAGAGAAAGGAGGAGAGTGCCAAGTCACCTTACCACTAATAGCTCTAGAATCAGCAGTACAGCTATAATGGCATGAACCCCAAAACTACACCGCTTTTGAAATCTAAACAAGTAACCCTGCCTGATGATGCATTACACTGTACTGACTTATGCTGGCACTGGTTTCAGGGGTCTGTGCAGTGTTCTACTGTAGCGCACAAACACGTCCGTAAAAATCTCTCCCGTCCCTGCAATCTTAATATCAAATACCTCACAATCTTTAATGTTTAGGTCCTCACAATATACTAGTGAAGTAGGAAAGAATTATTAAGTCCACAAATATGTGTAGTGACCTTGGTATATCTAGTAACTGGATTTTACTGTTAAATTTAACAAACGTGGTATCTACAAGGATTCTTGTCAGACAGCTCTTCTCAATCTTCATGAAGAATATCACTGTAGAGAAGAGCGAGACATGCATCCATCCATCCATCTATGCTTCCACAAAAATATATCATATATACACATATATATATCCATAACAGTGCATAGTATGTAGAGGTAATACATCACTGATAGACATATACGCTATTTTAAGGGTGTGGAAAAATGTGACATACTTTCATGCCTTTGCCAGTCTACAGGAAGACGACTGGCAGGCTACAAGTCCTCCAAAGATATATTTACAGCAGTATTTACAAGCAACATTCCAGTGTTTTTTCTAGTGATAGATACAGTAACTGCAGATGTTCTGTAAGCAGGGCACGTTTTGAAGCTTTTTGTGGAAGGCAGCGTATATAATATTTATTATATTCATATAAACTATAGTACTACATGATATATGGCACACTTCTTATGAATTAAACTTTAAATATCCCTTGTTTGGAGAGAAATAAATACTAAACTCTGAAAATAAGCTGGGTGGGGGCAAAATGTGTCATTTTTTTTACACTTATTTAAATATCATATGAACAAAGGGGTAAAATAGTAAAAAAGGAACATATTTTTGTATCTGTGAGAATGATGATTGTTTAAAAATACATATTTTCTGAAATAAGTGATGACACTTACAAAAAATAAGCTCCCAGAAACTGTTTAGTGTTTAGACAGTTACTGAAAAATTTGGCTTACTTCTAGTTTACTGCAATTAAGGTCAAAATTATTCCTAGCTATACCCATCTTCTGGTTCTGTGTGAATACCACTTGCTTTTGATTACGCCACACACCTTATTTTTATTTATTTATTTTACACAAGCCAGAAATCTCTAAATTTGCCATGATCTCAATATACATTTACAATAAATAGAAGTAACTGTTCTGCATATTGCATAGAATAAAAAAAAAATTACCATGCAACTTTTACACTCCTGGTTTTCCAAAATCTCTTTTAGATGTGTGTTTTCAGATTTGATAACTTTGTATTGGAAATCCAACAACTAGGAAAAGATTTGATTTTTAGTTATATACAAGAATATTACTGTTAACTTGAAATAACAGAGTATAGATAGATGTAGTTGAATTTTACAAAATATACATAAAGAATTATGAAAATAACTATATATATATTCGTAAATACAGCAATACTAAAGCAGGAAGAAGTCTTAAACCATTTCTAAAAGATACACAAATGCAATGCCTCTATTTACCTTTTTGAAGAAGTAATCACTTAGGAAAATAAGAGAGTTCACATGCAGTTACGAGATACAAAAAGGGACAGATTTTGCAGGCCGCTGGAACTGGATGAAATCTTAGTCATGAAACCTAGGAACGACATCCAGTATCCTAGTGATATGATAGGGAATAGTTCTTGTAGGAAAGATTGTAGGAAAATGTTCTTATAGGGCACTTCAATCTACCGGACATCTGCTGGAAGCATAAAATGGCGGAGGTAAAACGGTCTAGGAGGTGCCTGGAGTGTGTGGAGGATAACTTCCTGACACAGCTGGTGAGTGAGCCCACCAGGGGAGGTGCCTTGCTGGACCTGCTGTTTACAAACAGGGAAGGACTGGTGAGAGATGTGGTGGTCGGAGGCCGTCTTGGGCTTAGCGACCACGACATGATAGAATTCTCGATTCTGAGTGAAGTAAGGAGAGGGGTCAGCAAAACTGCTACCATGGACTTCCGGAGGGCAGACTTCAGCCTGTTCAGGTCACTGGTTGAGAGAGTCCCTTGGGACACAGTCCTGAAGGACAAAGGGGCCCAGGAAGGCTGGACAGCCTTCAAGAAGGAAATCTTAAAGGCGCAGGAGCAGGCGGTCCCCATGTGCCATAAGAAGAGCTGGCGGGGAAGGCGACCGGCCTGGCTGAGCAGGGAGATTTTGCTGGGACTCAGGGAAAAGAGGAGAGTTTATCACCTCTGGAAGAATGGGCAGGCAACTCACGAAGAGCACAAGGATCTTGTGAGGTCAAGCAGAAACAAAATCAGAAAGGCAAAATCCCAGCTAGAGCCCAGTCTGGCCACAGTCGT